CCCCCACCCCCACCCCCACCCCCGGCTGCGCTTGCCCGGCCCCCGAGGGCTCTGGGGCAGCAGAGACAGCTCGGCCTGGTCCCGCAGGGGCCGCGGAGAAGAGCTCCAAGCACGGCGCCGAGGACCGAACGCAGAACATCATCATGGTGCTCAAGGACCGCATGAAGATCCGGGAGCGCAACAAGCCCGAGATCTTCGAGCTCATCCAGGAGGTCTTCGCCGTGACCAAGTCGGCGCACACGCAGCAGATGAAGGCGGTGAAGCAGAGCGTGCTGGATGGCACGTCCAAGTGGTCGGCCAAGATCAGCATCACGGGTGAGGCGGCGCGGGGCGCGGGCCGGGTCGGGCAGCGCGGGGCGCCCGGGCCCACCGCCGTGCTGTCTTGCAGTGGTCTGCGCCCAGGGCCTGCAGGCCAAGGACAAGACGGGCTCCAGCGACCCTTACGTCACGGTCCAGGTCGGCAAGACCAAGAAACGGACGAAAACCATCTACGGCAACCTCAACCCCGTGTGGGAGGAGAACTTCCACTTGTGAGTGCCAGGCCGGGCTGGCTGGGCCGGGAGGGCTCCTGGCCCGCCGCGGCTACCTGACGCCGGCCCTCGCCCGCCCCTCCCTGCGCAGCGAATGTCACAACTCCTCCGACCGCATCAAGGTGCGCGTGTGGGATGAGGACGACGACATCAAGTCCCGCGTGAAGCAGAGGTTCAAGAGAGAGTCGGACGACTTCCTGGGGCAGACGATCATCGAGGTGCGGACGCTCAGCGGCGAGATGGACGTGTGGTACAACCTGGGTGAGCTAGGGCAACAGGGCCGGGCCTGCTGGACGGGAGGAGGGGGCCAGGCGCAGAGGGGCATGGCGGGGGGGCGGCGAGGCGGGAACCCCGGCCCTGCCTAGGAAGGCCGGCCGGCTGGGAGGAACACACCCAGACTTCGCCCCAGCGAGGACTGAGGTCCAGGACCTGTCTGACAGGAGGGATGGCCGGGAAACGGTGTCTAAGGGAGGAGACGACCTCTTTCTTTTTGTACGTTTTTGCGGTACATGCATTTTACAGTCATCTTGGGGAGTGGGTACACGTACGTAATACAGCTTGTTTCTTTTTATTAAGTTTATTGGTACATTTTAGATATGCATACTAATCACATTCTGGTCACATTGATCCTAATCCTAGGGAATTTGTGCCTGTACATGATGTATCTTAAACTTTTTTCCCATTCCCATACCATTCAACCCCTCTTCCTCTCCTTTTCTTTTGTGTTTCTGGTACCGGGGATCGAACTCGGGACCTTGCACTTTCAAGACAGACGGCGGAACCACTGAGCTGAATCTCCACTGCCCTCTTCCTCTCCTTGTTTACAGCAGCTTTGTTCTCATTTTTCCTTCTTTACTCATTTTTTTCCCTTCCTTCCCTCTTCCCCCTCCCTAGCTCCCCTTACCATTTAAACTTTTTTTTTTTTTTTTTTTTTTTTTTACTTTTTCACAATATCTGTTATACGTTTTGGGTCCTTATTGATTCTTTCAGTTTCTCACACCAGAGAAACAATGCAATATTTACACATGTGCATTCGATTTATTTCACTTAAAAGTATGGTCTCAAAGTGCATCCATTTATCTAGAAATGGCTCAAGTTTACCCTTCTTTATGGCTGAGTAGTACTCCATTGTACAAAAAAACCCCACATCTTCTTTATCCATTCATTGGTTCATGGACATTTGGGGTGTTTCCAAGAATGGAACCTCTAGCCCTAGTTGAGTTTTTGAGGACTCTCCACACTGATTTCCATAGTAGTTGCACCAGTCTACACTCCTACCAACAGTGGAGAAGGGCTCCTTTTGCTTCACAACTCTGCCAGCATTTGTTATTGGTTGATTTCTTGATAATTGCCATTATTTCTGGAGTGAGTTGGAATCTCAGCACTGTTCTAATTTACATCTCTGGAATGACCAGTGATGCTGAACATTTTTTTTCACTGGAAGAAAGATAGCCTCTTTAATAAATGATGCTGGAAAACTGGCTTTTCACATGCTGAAGATTAAAACTAGGCCCATAAGCTAAAGTCTAAATGGATTAAAGATCTAAATATTAAAACAGAAACACTAAATCTGCTGGGAGATAGAATAGGTAGAACTCTTGAAGACATAGGTGTAGGCAAAGACTTCATGAACAAAACCCTGACTACACGGGAAATATCACAAAGAATCAACAACTGGGATCTCATCTTATTAAAAAGCTTTTGCACAGCAAAAAAAAAAAATCATCAAAAGAGTGAAGAGACCACCCACAGAGTGGGAAAAAAGTTTTGCCAGCTATTCCTCAAAGGACTAATATCTAGTATATATAAAGAACTCAGAGCCAGGGGTTTAGCTCAGTGGTTCTGCCACCTGCCTCGCAAGTGCAAGGTCCCGAGTTCCATCCCCCGTACCAAAACAAAAAACAAAAAAACAAAAACCTCAAAAAAATCAAAGCCCCCAAATTTAAAGACCCAGACCAATAATGGGCATCTGAAATGGACAGACACTTCTCAGGTGAAGAAATAGAAATAGCAAATAAATACATGAGAGCCAATCCTAAGAGAGACACTGGGCCTTAATTTCAGGGCATCGGGAAGGCTACAGAGTGGTGCCAACATTAAAATATCTCATTCAATGGACATTAAAATAGACTGGCGTGGTAGTGCATGTCTGTCACCCCAGTGCTCTGGGAGGCTGAGGCAGGAGGATTGCAAGTTCGAGTCCAACCTGGGAAATTTAGCAACTTAGCAAGTCTCAAAGTAATAAACAAAGAAGGATTGGGAATGGAGCTCAGCGTGAAGGCCCTGGGTTCCATCCCCAGTACAAAACAGAAAGGGCCACCAGGCTGACAGCGGGGGCTCATAACACAGCCCTCCCTCTCTGCCCTGCAGACAAGAGAACTGACAAGTCTGCAGTGTCAGGTGCCATCCGGCTGCACATCAGCGTGGAGATCAAGGGTGAGGAGAAGGTGGCCCCCTACCATGTCCAGTACACCTGCCTGCACGAGGTGAGCCCCTCTGCCCAGGCTGCCCTGCCCCTCCTTCCTCGAAGCCAATCGAGCTCTGCAGCACCTTGGGCAGTTCCCCATGCCACTCCCTCGACCCAGAAAACTCCTCTCCATCTGCCGCGGCCCAGCTCCAGGGCCCCTCCTTGGGGAAGCCCCCAGACCTCCAGACTGACTCTCACCCATCAGCCCCGTGGGCTGCCTTCTGGCCCAGAGCTGTGGCTCAGGGTTGGGCCCTGCTGTCCCCAGGACTGAGCTCACTGGATGATTGGATGACTGAGTGAAGAGTGGATAAGGAGGAAGGGTGGAGAGATGGCAAGTAAATGGGTGGGCAGGGAGGCGAGAGCGGGTGGGTGCTGGAATGGACAGGCGGCGGGCGGACGACGCATGGAGGGATTGTGGCTGGGTTAGTATTGGACATGTCGGAATGGATGAGTAAACGGGCACAGGTAATGGGCAGTGGTGTTGGATGGGTAGAGAGATGGATGATGGATGGATGGAGAGAGGCAGAAAGACAGAGAGGAACTGGATGGTGGGATGGTGGATGGATGAACTGTTGGATAGACAGATTAAATTGTCAGTAGGAGGGCGGGGGATTTAGCTCAGTGGTTCTGGTGCCTGCATTGCAAGCGCAAAGTCCTGGGTTCGATCCCCGGTACCAAAAATAAATAAATTAATTAGTTGTGAGTAGGATAGGGTGGGTGGACGTGTTGTTGGACTGGTAAAAGGGAGGGTGAGTAGATAGGTGAACATTTTGATAGGTGGATGGGTGGGAGGGTGGGTGGGAGAATGAGTGGATGGACAAACAGGCAGATGGCCAGGTGGATGACAGGGTGTGTGGCTGGGTAAGAGGAAGAGTGGAAAATGGGTAAGCGGGTGGACAGATGGATGGATGTGTGGTTGAACTACCACAAGTACAGAGGAAAAGGTGCTTGAATTTTGTAGTTAAATAAACAGGTGAATGAGAATATGGATGGGTGGGTGGATAGATAGATGAATGGATGGGTGGATTGTTGATTGTATGGAAGGATGAATTTTTGCATAGATGGATTGAACTGTGGGTAGTTGTATGGGATGGATGGATGGATGGACTTGAATTGTTAAAAGGACAGATAAGTGAATTTGGGGATAGCTGGATGAATGGGGCTGGTGGGTGGATGGACAGATGCTTGGGTAGGTTGATGGTGAGTGGATGGGTGGGCAGGTGGACGAGATGGCTGGGGTGGGTGGCAGAGTGGCAGATGGACAGACGGACACCTACACGCCTGTGTGGCTGATTTACTGACTGGCTTGGTGGCAAGGTGAAACTTACGGTAGTGGGTGGATGGGTGGGTGAGCGCACGGATGAAGGACAGAGCCAGGAGAAGGCAGCAGGGTGGGCGTTGCGGGGGCCCGGGCGCCCGCTTTGCCCCCAACCACAAGCCCTTCCCCGGCGCAGAACCTCTTCCACTTCGTGACGGACGTGCAGAACAACGGTGTCGTGAAGATCCCGGACGCCAAGGGCGACGACGCCTGGAAGGTTTACTACGACGAGACGGCCCAAGAGATCGTGGACGAGTTCGCCATGCGCTATGGCGTGGAGTCCATCTACCAAGCCATGACGTGAGGCTGCAGGCGGGGTGGGCGGGGCTCCGGGAAGGCCCGGCCCGACCCGGGGAAGTGGGCGTGGCCTGCTGGGAGTGACTGCTATTGGGGCGTGGCCAGCAGGTTGGGGTGATCCAGCTGCCATGTAGTGGGCGTGGCCAGCAGGTTCGGGGCCTGGCCGAGCTGCCAGTGGTGGGCGTGGCTGATCGTGGGGCGTGGCCAGCAGGTTGGGGGCGTGGCTGGACCCGAGGGGCCCAGAATTGCAGGGAATTGGCTGTAGGAGGTGAACTGGGAGGGGAGCTAGAGGCCACTCGGCCTGGGGGGCAGGGGTGGAAAGATGGAGACGGGGCGCAGTTAGGCACAGAGCAGGCCTGTGGCTGGGGGCTCAGGTGCCCCTCTGGCCGCTGCCTGGGCTCTGGGGGACCCCGCCTCCTGCCCCGCTCCTCCCGCAGCCACTTCGCCTGCCTGTCCTCCAAGTACATGTGCCCCGGGGTGCCCGCCGTCATGAGCACCCTGCTCGCCAACATCAACGCCTACTACGCGCACACCACCGCCTCCACCAACGTGTCTGCCTCCGACCGCTTCGCCGCCTCCAACTTCGGGGTCAGTCCCGGCCAGGGAAAGGGGACCCGGCCCAGCCCGGACCGGCCTCGCGGGGCTTTGAACCCCCACCCTGCGCCGCCCTGGACCCCTGAACATGCGCAGTGGTGGGGGGTGGGGGTCCTGGTGGCTGGGGTGCGCGTAGCACTGGCGACGCCCCACCCTGACCCCACGGCCTTCCGCCTCCTCAGAAAGAGCGGTTCGTGAAGCTCCTGGACCAGCTGCACAACTCGCTGCGGATCGACCTCTCCATGTACCGGGTGAGAGGCTTCAAGGCCGGCGCGGGCCGAGGCCCGCTCCCCCAGCTCCTCCGTTGCGGGCCCTTGCCCAACTGCACAGGCCTAGGCCTAACCTCGGCCCACCCTCGGCCCTCCTGCAGCTTGGGGCGTCTCTTACTGCCCCCCCCCCCCCGTGCTGCCTCCTCTCCTCCCCCAGCCTTCTTTCACTCCCGCTTCCAGTACCCCAGTCCCGGGGCGGAACCGCGGGCCTTCACGCTCAGCCCCAGCCCCAGCCCCAGCCCCAGCTCATTAAGTCACTAACTTCCCAGCCTCAGGCCACACTCGCAGCCCTCCCAGGGTGCTGGGATGATGGGTGTGCCCACCACTGACGGCTGTAACCCAGCTCTCCTTTCACTCCCAACAGAACAACTTCCCAGCCAGCAGCCCAGAGAGGCTCCAGGACCTCAAATCCACTGTTGACCTTCTCACCAGCATCACCTTCTTCCGGATGAAGGTAGGAGTGCCGGCAGCCCCACTTCCGCCTTTCCTTAGGGTTTGGTTTTGGTTTTTATCTGGGTTGGTTTTAGTCTTGTTTTGGTACCAGGGATTGAACTCGGGACCTTCCGCTTGCAAGGCAGACGCAGTGCCACTGAGCTAAATCCTTGGCCTGTTTTGTTTTTTGCTGATACATAAAACCCTGAAGATCATGCACATTAATGGGTACTGTGTAATGTTCGGTACACATATCTACATAGCGTGATGTTTAAATCAGCTTAAACATTTATTACTTCCTTGTGCCGCCAAAATCCTGTTTTCTAGCTTTGTGTGTTTGTGTGTGTGTGTGTGTGTGTGTTTCTCAGGATTGAACGATGGCCCTTTGCACTGAGCTACCTCTCCAGAGCACACACACACCACGTATTTATTTATGTGGCAAGGCCTTGCTAAGTCACCACATTGCCCGGCTGGGCTCAAACTTGGGATCCTCCTGCCTCAGCCTCCCACAGCACTGGGATTCCAGGTGTGCGCCCCCACTCCCAGCTCTCCTGGCTGTTTGCAGTGCGCGTTACGTTCCTGCCACCTGTGTCACCACCTGTCTGTGCGGCAGTGCCCCAGAAGCCTTGCTCCTGTCCGACTGCCCCTCAGTTGGTCACCCCACCCCACCCTCAGCCTCTGTAACCACCGCAATGCCCTCATCTCTCTGAGACCAGCTCTGTAGTTTGCACCTCTGAGGGCATCGGGCAGTACTTGTCTCTGTGCACAGCTTATTCCATTTAAGGTCTTGATCTCTGGCCAGGCATGGTGGTGCACAGCTGGAGTCCCAGAACTCAGGAGGCTGAGGCAGGAGGATCATGAGCTCAGGACCAGCCTAGACACATGGCAAGACCCTGTCTCAAACACCAACCGCTCAACCACAAGAAGCAAATAATCATCTCCAGTTCCATCCATGCTGTCTCAAATGATGCGATTTCACATTTTCTTGGCTGAATAGTATTCCTTTGTGTAGAGGTGCCAGTTTTCTTTGTCCACGCACCCACTGATGGACACTTAGCTTGGTCCACCCCTCGGCTAATCCAGATGGTGCTGCAGTGAATGTGGAGCACAGAAGTCTCTTCATCACACTGATGACATTGGTTGTAGACCCACGACATCATGGTTAGGCCATGAGGCAGAGCTCGCTCAGGTTTTCTGAGGCGCCTTGGTGCTGTGTCCACTGTGCCTGTCCTAACTTGTACCCCCATTCGCAGTGCCAGGTTTCCTCACCATCTCTAGGTGTCTTTGGTCTTTTGGGCCATGACCGTTCTTACTGTGGGGAGGTGATCTCTCTCTGTGGTTTCGACCTCTGCGACTGCATCTCCTTTGGCCCAAATGCGCCGCCCCTGCTGGGTGCATCTTGCCGCCTCTGTGCCTCATGCGTCTCCTTCCTCACAGGTCCAGGAGCTGCAGAGCCCACCCCGAGCCAGCCAGGTGGTGAAGGACTGCGTGAAAGCCTGCCTCAACTCGACCTACGAGTACATCTTCAACAACTGTCATGAGCTCTACAGCCGAGAGTACCAGGCAGACCCGGTGAGGCCCCCGCTGGGGCGCAGGGGAATTGGGGTCCCACTGCACCCCCCAGGCCTCACCACCGTGAGCGTCGGTGCCTTCTGTAAAGTGGGTTCATGAGACGCATCTCAAGGTCGAGGGAAACATGTACTAGATGGACACCTGAGAGAAAATCCGGGTACACGCTTGGCATTGAGCAGACAGGAGCGCTCAGCAGCTCCTTGGTGGGCTGAGCTCGTGGTGGAGTCGTTCTAATGTGGAGCTGAATTTCTGGAACAGAGCTCAGTGTTGATCATTCGGCTGAATTTATCCAAAATCATTCAACAGGTGTGCACCTGGCACACGTCCCAGGACTGTGGGTAAGATTTCACAGGTGACTGTGGTCTGAGAGGAGGGAGGAGGTGCACCTCGGGGCTCTGTAACCCAGGGTGACTAGTCCTGAGATGAGGCAGCTCTAAGGCTCGGGGGCCTGGGGCGCCCCCACCCCAGCTTCTGGCGGATGGGACTCATCTGCTGAGAAAAGGCCCTCAGCTGCCTTCTCTTCCTTAGGTTGAGATCAGGCACCTCCCTGAGTTGGGTTGAGGTGAGCTGTGTGGATCAGGGTGAGTTCATCTATCGTCTGTTAGTTCCATGTATCTCTGTTTGGTTGGCTTCAGTTAAAAGTGTTCTTGACAAATTAGTGATCGGAGCTAAGTTGGACTGAGTTAAGTTTGAGTGTGGAGCCTCTCATTCATTTCCCTTCATTCATTTCCCTCTCCCTCCCAAATTAATTCCGCATCTGCTCAGTTTGTTTTTGACTGGGCTGAACTGAGTTGAGTCAGGATAAGCTGGCTTCTTAAGCGCAGTTGATCTCACTTGCTCTGGGTCCAGAGGGGCTTGTTTCAGTGGTGTCTTACTTACAGTCCCAGACCTGGGACCCTGTACCCAACACCCACGACTTACAGAAAGAGAGATTTATTTTGCTCACAATTTTCAGAGGATTCAGTTTATAGTTGGTGGCTCCAAGGCAGGAAGGTCATTGTCCAAGAGTCTGGTAGAGAAAGCTGCTCACATCGTGGCAGCCAGGAGGCAGCGAGAAGGAGGAGCTGAGGACAGGAATTCATGCTGCCAGCCCCAGCTACAGGGGTAGATCCCACTCTGAACTGCTCAGTGTGTGAATCCACCCAGGAGTGCAACCCCCATGACCCAAGCACCTACGGAAGCCCCAGCCTCTGCGCACCAGGGCCTTCTGGGGAAATCTGGACCTGCACCATGACAAGTGGACTCCACTCATTTCCATCTTGAAGCTGTCCTTGGCTGGCCCAAGAATTTAGGTTGGGTTAAGAAGGGTGGCGTTGCATTGGGTTGACCTGGTTTGAGTTGGATTGAGCTGCATTACGTTGGGGTGGGCTCAGGTCAAGGAGACATGTTTCCATTCTGTTGATGTTGGTCTTGGACAAGCTGGTTGGGTTCAGCCCCACTGAGCTCATCCATGCTGCACTCACTCAGTCCTGTTCAGTTGGCCCATGTGTCTCCCACTGGGTCCACGCAGGAGAGCAGCTTCTGTTAGCCCGGGTGGGCTCTTATTGCCTTCAGTCTGGTTCCACTTGGTCTCCTGGGATTGGATTTTGTTCAAATTCAGTTCTATGTGTTTCCATTCCATTTCTGGGGTGAGCGTAAGAGTCGTCCAGTGTGTGGAGCTGCAGTGACGGAGCTGGGTTTGGGCCAGTCCTCAGGAGTCTGGGATTTTCCATGCAACCTCCTGCCTGAGCCAGATGTCAAGAGGGCCCCTCCTCGACAACCTCCTGCCCCTCTGTAATGTCCTGGCCAAGCCCTGTTCATCCTCAAAATGTGTCCACTGCCCCTCTCAGGCCAAGAAGGGGGAGGTCCCCCCAGAGGAGCAGGGCCCCAGCATCAAGAACCTCGACTTCTGGTCCAAGCTGATCACCCTCATAGTGTCCATCATCGAGGAAGACAAGAACTCTTACACCCCCTGCCTCAACCAGTGAGTTGTGGGTCTGTGGAGTGAAGTATCAGGGTCCTGTGTGTGTGTGTGTGTGTGTGTGTGTGTGTCACATGTGTGCATCTTGTGTGTAAAAGAGATTGTGTTTGATTCCACATGAGATGTGCACATGGGAACATGTGTAGTCTGTTGTACTATTGTGGAATTCAAGAGACAGAAGAGACCACTAGGAAACGAGGATTTATTTAGTAGTGTGCTGTCTGAGTGGGACTCCTATCTAAAAGCCTGGGCCCTGAACAAAGGGAAAGCTCTAGTTTTTATACATTTGTCAAAGGGGTTGGCATGAAACAGGACAAAGGCAGTTATTCACTCAGTGACATGTTTACATCTTAGCCTTGAAAAATGGATATCAGGAATTTTAGGATGTCATAGGACTCTTTTTATAGGAACATAGTTCTCAACCTTATCTGTATTTGAGTTCTCTTATCTGAGTTCGGTCCCTAGTACCACAAAAAGAAAAATGACATTAACAGATCTTCCAAACTGTTGCCAGGGATTTAGCTTGGTGGCACTGTGCCTGCCTTGCAAGTGCAAGGTCCTGAGCTCGATCCCCAGTACCGAAAAAAAAAAATAGATGGATAGATGAGTGCTTAGATGGTGAGTAGATAGGTGGATATTTGGACCCGTGGCTGAATGGATGAGGAAATAAGTGGAAGGATGGATGGATGGATGGATGGGTGGGTCAATGGGTGGATGGATGGATGGGTGGGTAGATGGATGGATGGGTGGATGGGTGGATGGATGGGTAGATGGGTGGGTGGATGGGTAGATAGATGGATGGATGGATGGATGGGTGGGTGGGTGGGTGGGTGGGTAGATGGATGAGTGGGTGGATGGGTGGATGGATGGGTGGGTGGATGGGTAGATGGATGGATGGGTGGGTGGGTGGATGGGTGGATGTTTGGGTGTATGGGTGAGTGGATGGATGGATGGATGGATGGATGGATGGATGTTTGGGTGGATGGGTGGATGGGTGGATGGGTGGATGGGGCTCGTGGAGAAGCAAGGCCTCAGGGCAGCCACTCAGAACATCAGTGGCCCTGAGGGAAACTGAACACAGCCTCCTTCCCCGTCCTGTGTTGCCCTCTGGAGCAGGGAAGCACTAGCAGCCCATTCCATCAGGTTTCTCTCTGCCAAACTCCATATTAATGTGACCTTTGCCAGGTTTCCCCAGGAGCTGAATGTGGGCAAGATCAGCGCTGAAGTGATGTGGAATCTGTTTGCCCAAGACATGAAGTATGCCATGGAGGGTGAGTCCAGAGCCCTGTATCCCTGGGCTGAGGGGAGGCCACTGCCTCAGTGTCCCCCCTGAGCAGTGCTCTAGCAGCGGCTGGGCCGCCCGCTTCCCCTCAGAGCATGACAAGCACCGCCTGTGCAAGAGCGCCGACTACATGAACCTGCACTTCAAGGTCAAGTGGCTCTACAACGAGTATGTGGCCGAGCTGCCCACCTTCAAGGACGGCGTGCCCGAGTACCCCGCGTGAGTCCTCAGACAGCCCAGCCCAAGCCAGGCCGGGTGCTGACAGTGGGAGGGAGGGCGGCCCCGGGAGGGGCCGGACCTGCTCAGTGGCCCGGGCGGGCGCCACCCCACCCTGGAGCCCAGCCACCAGACCACAGACTCCAGGAGCCCAGGGAACGCATGGTCACGGGGGCCCGGCGCTGACCGGACCTGGCCCACGTGGCCTTCCTCTGCTGAGCCTTTGACATTCTGTGAAGTGAGGTGACAGTGTTACAGTCTCCATTTTGTGGATGGGGAGATGCTGGGCTAAAAAAATACCAAGCAGCCGGACGTGGTGGCGCGGGGCTCTCACCCCAGCTACTCAGGAGGCTGAGGCAGGAGGATCACAAGCTGCAGCCCACCCTGGGTCATTTGACAACTTAGGGAGACCCCGTCTTGAAATACAAATAAAAAACGCTGGGCTGTAGCTCAGCAAGAAGGCCCTGGGTGCAATCCCCAGTACCACACACACATACACACACACGGCACCAAGGGACTTGGCTAGAGTAAGGCCGTTGATCAAGCCAGGATCAGAGCCTGGGTGAACTGTTCCTGAGGCCCCCTGCAGGCTGGGTCAGGCACTGCTCACAGCAGCACTGAGGTCACTGTGGTCCAGTCAACCCTCTGTGTCCGTGGGATGGTTCCAGGATGCCCTGTGGGTACCAAAGTCCAAATGCACAAGTCCCTTCCGCACAGTGGCAGCATTTGCATAAAGCCACACACACCCTCCTGTAGCCTGGCATCCTCCCCAGAGGGCTTAGGGTCCCAGGACAGGGTCACAGTGGCGCAAATTGTCACGGCGTCCAGTTCAGGGAGTCCTGACAAGAAAAAAGTCTGTATGTCCCAACACATGCAGTTTTTACAAACATTTCTGATCCGTGATTGGTTGAACCCGTGGATGGGGAACCCACAGATGCAGAGGCCTAGTTGTATGCAAAAGGAGATCACAGAATGTGAGCCCACCACCCCTATCAGAGCCAGGGTCTGCAGGTCTGGGCTCTGCTCTGCAGTGGCCACTGGTTCATTTCACAGATGGAACAACCGAGGCTGGGGCACAGGGGTGGGGAGCCACCCGAACCACAAGGGAGCAGGACCAGCACTACCAGTACTGGGTCAGAGCTGGGCAGGCAGGGCTGAGGGGGGCAGGAGGTAGCAGGTCCCACCCTGGCTGTCCGTTTCAGGTGGTTCGAGCCCTTTGTCATCCAGTGGCTGGACGAGAACGAGGAGGTGTCCCGGGACTTCCTGCATGGTGCCCTGGAACGCGACAAGAAGGATGGGGTGAGAAGGCTGACCCGTGAGCAGGCTCCCAGTTTGCTCATCCTGACCTCATTCCCTCTGGAGTCCACTGGGATCCAGTTTGAGGGCAAAGATTGCTCAAAAGGAGGAGCTGGTCTCTGATAAGTGTGTGCCATCTTGGTTTTTAAAGTCTTTTGTTCACACGACAACTGTGGAATGTGGGTTCATCAAGCCTGACCCCTCCACACCTTGTGGCCTTTGCGTCCACCCTAAGTAGGCACCTTGCACTCTGTGCACTGCACCCAAGGGCACTGGTGTCTGGGCATCGCCACGGACACGGTGGGGCGGGCGCGAGGCCTGCCTGGCTCTGACAGTCCCGTCACGATCCCGCCACAGTTCCAGCAGACCTCGGAACATGCCCTGTTCTCCTGCTCGGTGGTGGATGTCTTCTCCCAGCTCAACCAGAGCTTTGAGATCATCAAGAAGCTCGAATGCCCTGACCCCCGGATTGTGGGGCACTACATGAGGCGCTTTGCCAAGGTGGGGCTGGGGGCAGGCTGGGAAGGGGCCATGCGGGCGGAGGTGGCATCGGGGCTGGGGTTGGGGTGGGGTTGCTGACACTGAGTGTGGACTTGAGGTTGGAGTGTGGGTTTAGGTCAGGGTGGGGCTGATGCCATCAGTGGAGTTGGCAGTGACGCTTGCTGAGGGGACCTCGGGGTTAGGCTTTGAGCTGGGATTGCCATTGGAGTGAATGATGGGATTTTGCAGAAGTGGGCTTGGCTTTGGGGTGAGCTTGGCATAGCTACATTCAAGTTGTCATGGGGCCGGGTCAGTGTTGGGGACTCCAGGTCCTACTGGCATTCAGTTTGGGACCGGGTCGTGCCTATGGCGGGCAAGGTGAACAGGACGGTCGCTGCTTCAGAGAAGAGGTGGCTCTGCGGGAAACAGTGGCCTTCAGCTGCTGGCGCTCCCCTGTGCCTTGGGCCCAGCGTCCCTCTTGGGTGCTGCAGGGTCGGGGCCATCCGGGGTCTTCACCCAGGGCCCCGCCCTCTCACAGCCCCTGTGTCCCTCAGACCATCAGCAATGTGCTCCTCCAGTACGCTGACATCATCTCCAAGGACTTCGCCTCCTACTGCTCCAAGGAGAAGGAGAAAGTGGTGACCTGCAGGCCCCGCCCCGCCCCGCCCAGCATGCCCAGGGCTTTGTGCTCCCAGGGCTCTCACCCCTGGCTCCCCGTGTGCCCCCCATGTGACAGCGTGCGTGTCTGCCTGTGCTTGCGGTGTGTGTGTCCAGCGAGTGCGCGAGTCCAGGGGTGGTGTCTAATTGTGTCGCCTGGCCTTGTGCGTGCATGTGTGCATGCGTGCGATTGGCTAGGGTGTGAGTTTGTGTCTGTGGCTGTGTGTCTGGCTCTGTTGAGCAGGTGGCCTGTGAGTGTGCGTGGCGTGTGTCTGTCTGGCCATACATGTGGGGGCCCCGCATTTGTGTGCAGTGGGGCGAGGGCACACACCTCCAGTGTGTCACCAGCTGCTGCCAGGCTGCCCTGCAGGAGAGCTGGGTGCAGACAAGGACACCCCCTTGCTCCCCCAGGATTCCCCGCCCCTCTCTGGACCCACTAGGCCCGGGGGTCCTGGGGAAAATGACTGAAGTCCTTCTGTCCCCACCAGTCCCCAGAGCACCCTCCCTGCACCTGGAACCTGAGCCCAAGCACTCTTGTGCATCTTCAGGGCGCCCTAACACCCCGCCCCAGCCCCACACCATGATCCCCCCAGCCCTTGGTGGGCAGGACGGCCCTGGGCAAGTTCCGAGCCTGGCTTCCTCTGTTGCCCCAGCCCTGCATCCTCATGAACAACACGCAGCAGCTCCGCGTCCAGCTTGAGAAGATGTTTGAGGCCATGGGAGGCAAAGAGGTGAGGTGGGGCCCCCCAAGTCCCTGCAGCCCAGAGCCATGTGCACACAGCCAGGGGGGAGCTTACAGGCGTGTGATGGCACACACTTGCAACCCCAGCATTCCACAGGCTGAGGCAGGAGGGTCTCAAATTTAAGGCCTGCCTGAGCTACATGAACAACAACAAGACCAAGCCAGCAGCTTCACCATCTGTGCCCAGTTTCCTCTACAGCCCCTGAGATCCTGTCCCGGGGTCAGACAAGACAACGCCCGGGACTTGTGATGCTCAGGTAACCCAGCCCGGTGTCTCTCTCAGCTCGATGCCGAGGCCAGCGACATCCTGAAGGAGCTTCAAGTGAAACTCAACAACGTCCTGGATGAGCTCAGCCGGGTGTTTGCGACCAGGTGGGGCAGCCCAGGCCTCTGAGCCTGGGCATAGTGATCCATGGGTGCATGGGGAGGACTGGGCTCAGAGTTAGACAAAGCTGGTCCGAGTTCTGCCTCCCTGCTACATGGCTATGGGGCAGCCGTCAGCCTCCCTGAGCCTCCATCTGTCTATCTGAGAGGTAGGGACAATGACCAGGCAGTCCCCAAGCAGAACCCAAGGAGCAGGGAACGGACGGATGTCTCAGCCCAGCGCCAACTCCGTTCTCCTTGCCCCCACCCAGCTCTGCCCCCTTGCTCCCTGGCATGGGGGACAGGCTCCAGGGCTCTGTCTGAGCACCTCTGCTCTGCCCACAGCTTCCAGCCGCACATCGAAGAGTGTGTCAAACAGATGGGCGACATCCTCAGCCAGGTGAAGGGCACGGGCAATGTGCCCGCCAGTGCCTGCAGCAGTGTGGCCCAGGATGCTGACAATGTGCTCCAGCCCATCATGGACCTGCTGGACAGCAAGTGAGCTGGGCCGGGGCCGGGAGGGTGTGGAAGGGCAGGGGAGGATGGAAAGGTGGCGGGGCGGGGGGAAACCTGGAAGGACTGGGGGAAATATGTGTATGGAGGCACGGATGGTGTTGGGTGGAGAAGTGACAGAGGGAAGAGCAGGTGGATGGAAGAATGGATTAAAAGAAAAATGCTTAGAAGTCTGGAGGGAGGATAGATGTTTCCATAGAAGGATGGATTGATAGATGGTGGATGGATGGGTGGGTGGATAGATGGATGGGTGGATGGGTGGGTGGATGGATGATGGATGGATGGGTGGGTGGATGGATGGATGGATGGGTGGGTGGATAGATGGATGGGTGGATGGGTGGGTGGATGGATG